TTGCAACCCTCAGTGTCGCCCCCGTACCGGACCAGGACCGGCAACGGGATCGCAACCCTCGGTGTTGCCCCCGCGCCTCGCTCAGCCAGTGAGCGGGAACCGGTCTGTATGTGGGATCCGAACCCTCGGCGGGAGCACTGCTGCGCTTCCCAAGCGGTGCACTAGCGCAGTGCACCACCGGGCCGGCCCAAAGGCAGAATCTTTAAAGGTTGGACCTGGAAGGACTTCTAGGTGAAAAGGGGCAGCTATTTCATATACCACTTTTGTTTGCCTCTTTACTTTTTTTGTTGTTGTTGTTATGACCTCTACCAGGCTCCTTTTGAAACTTACAGTTTATTTGTAGATGCGAACACTTTTCCTTTGCCTGCTCCCATTTCTTGAGTGGTCTAGGGAGAGAACCCATCAGGTAGTGGCCTATTTTAAATGCTAAGGCTCCTCTCCCTCCCACTACCTCTTGGCCCATCTGCCCTTCACATTCTTGCTGTTTGGGAAGATAGTGGGGTAAACAAGGCCTTATACCTTATCATTTTAAGAAACTACTTGACCACCTCTTTAGTATGGGCACAAGATGCAGGGCTATTCACTTTCATGAGTAGGTGTCTTAAAATCTGGGTTAGAGGTGATAATATAATCTTAGAATTAAATTTTAAGGGCATGGTATTATAACACCAAGGTCAAGGGTTCGGATCCCCATACCAGCCAGCCTCCAAAAAAAAAAAAAATTTTTTTTTAGGGGAACCTTCTTTTCAACCTCAAGAATAGTTTTTTCACTATTCTCCACCACCTTCCCATTGGACAGATGGAAATAAAGACCATAAAAATAACAGGTTTAGTAACGGGGGAGACCCATAGAAAGGTCGGGGAGTGGGAAAGCTTTATAGCTGGGGGGGGGGGAGGGCGGGGGGAGGCTTCAGGTCTGCTCAGTTTGGAGGTGGTTGGCACCGGGAGGCTGGAGGATGGCTAACTAGAAGCCCGGCCTCCTATGTGATTGGTTTGGGGAGCATATTTGGCTTTCTCTGATTGGTCCTGAGTTGGAAGCAGCGGCAAAAAATAGGGAAGCTGCCAGTCAGTGGCCAAGTCCTGACCATTCTGGGCTGCTTGCTGCAGAGGTCGTGGGTAGGAGTTCTATTGTCACATAGGTTTGGCCATTGTCTGTCTGTATGTTCAGTCTCTCAGCTGGGTGAGACCCCAGGTTTTTATTTTCCTTGACCTAGTTAGCTTTTAGCTCCAAATTTCTGTTTTACTTGGAACAAGACAGCATTTCTATTATTTCTGTTAAAGATAAGCAGAGGCATTAAGATCTGAAAAGTAATTATGGAAACAAATGCATAAATATCCTCATAGTGAGGATCAGGCAGGAGAAAGAATCACCCTCTGACTTCTGGTTTCCCCATTTCCTTACACAACTCCTATTTCCATTATTACTGACTCCTCAGCAGCTCCCTCCCTTCGGGGGAGGCCCGGCCTCTTCTGCCCTCTCTTTGAGGACGGCCCCCTGGGGACGCCCTCCCGACAGGTCTCCCCTTCCCCCGGCTCTGCTGGCCACTCGGTGCCTCCGCCCACTGCCCCCT